CCCCCCCCCCCAATATTCCTCTCCCTCCACTCTTTGCCCTCTCAATTCTGCAGAAGGAGCTAGCTTCTGAGACTCTGGTTGGGGATTGATAGTATGGCAAACTTTAAGAAAAAGAGAAACCAATTTTGGGGGTTCTTGGTGAGCCTGCAGTGGAGGTGGGGTTGGAATGGAAGAGCCAGGGGGGAAGCTAGGAGGGTGGTACTGCCTCTGACCAGCCAGCACCCCTGCCTGACAGTGCAGGGATCTGCTGAGGCCAGGGGAATACGGAGTGTTTGCAGCCCGGGCAGGAGAGCGGCGCTGCTGGCACCCGACTTGCTTTACCTGCCAGGCCTGTGGCCAGGCCCTGATAAACCTCATCTACTTCTACCACGATGGGCACCTCTACTGTGGCCGTCATCACGCTGAGCTGCTGAGGCCTCGCTGCCCTGCTTGTGACGAGGTACAGCTCTGAGTGGGGGGGCTGAGGGTGTCTGCTCAGGGTCCCAACTTGGCAGGATGCAAGGGAACATCTCTCCCAGTATCAGGGAGTGGAGAGAACGAGGCACCAGCCTGGGGCCTTTGTGTTCAGTTGCTGACTTGAACTTGGGGCATGTGGGGCCCTTTGCGCCCTCCCCCACGGCAAGCAGTTTCCCCCATATTTTCTGGAACCAAGAGAATTTCTCTGGAGCAGGTACTCTTGGATAGACTCTTGCCCATCAGTATGCTGGGCGCCCAGTGTTGTGCCTGATCATGCGAGGGCTCCCTTAATGTTAGCATAAAAGGCAGCGCGGAACCCTGGGCTGGGAGTCCAGGCAACACGGTCGCACTCGTGGCTTTGCCACCTGCTAGCTGGGGGATCCTGGCTAAACCAGTCAGCCCTCCCTGCGTCGGAGAGTGGTTGAGTAGATCAAATGGGAAAGTCTGTAGACGTGCTTTAGCGTTAACTGGCTATAAGGCGTGGTCACTGGATGAATGAATGAATGAATGAATGAATGAATGAATGAATGAATGAATGAGCGAGCCGTTCCCCCCCCCCCTCTCTCAGCTGATCTTCTCCCGGCGCTGCACCGAGGCGGAGGGATGGCGCTGGCACGAGAACCACTTCTGCTGCCAGGACTGCGCCGGGCCCTTGGGCGGAGGACGTTATGCCCTGCCGGGGGGTGGCCCTTGCTGCCCCAGCTGCTTTGAGAGTCGCTATTCGGATGCCGGCACGAGCCCGGCTGCGACACTGGAAGGAAGGCTGTCGCTTGGTAAGGGAGGAAAGGTGCAGATCAAAGGGGAAGAGGGCTTGGGCTGGGCAGAGGAGGGATTTCTCCCGGGCTGGGACCCCGGCCCCAGTCCCACGCCGTCCCGTCCCACCAGCAGCGCCCTCCAGCAGCGCCCCCGTCCTCCAACTGCACCCCCCAAACCCTAGCCTGGGGGCCCGCAGATCTCACCGTGCATCCCTGGCCGGAGCGCTCCAAGGGCCTCCAGAACCCACCCCGCGCCGCGGTTGAGGTTGCGGCGCGGGACTAGCTCGTGGACTGGGAACGCCGCCGCCCTCTGGTGGGCGGAGGCGGGGAGGGGCGAGGAGCCCCGGAGAGGACTCCCGGCGGCGGCGGCGCGCAACACTCGGGGGCGGGGCGGGAGGCTGGGCATATCGACCGGGGGCCCCCGCGCCGGGATCTGGGAGTGGGAGACTCGGGGCCCTGAGACAGGCCTGTCTGATTCGGCCCGTAGCAGGGGAGGCGGGGCTCGACGGAGTTGAAGGAGGGGACCGCGCCCCACTACACTCCGCTACTATCTCCGGAGCAGCCCTCGCCGCAGGCGCCAGCTGCAGTCCAGAAGCCCAGAGGGGGCTGCTTGGATCCAGCCCGGAGCAGGAGTGTCGATCTGGGGACAAGGCTGAGGCACCCAAAGGACGAGAGATGGGCCCCCTGGAGACGCCCATTGATCCCAAGGAGGACGCCCCCTGCCCCACCTGCTCCTCTTCCTCTGATTCAGAACCAGAAGGCTTTTTCTTAGGCCAGCGCCTTCCCCGGTCTTGCAAGACCCCGGGAAGTCTACAAGCTGGGGACAGAGACACCTCCAGGAAGCACTGCACCATTTGCTAGTGGCGAGCCTGGAGAAGGGGGGGGGTCTGTAAGGCGGTAGGCCGAGACTCCACCCCCTATACAAATCCTAGACTGAACGCAATCAGGGACACGCCTGGGAGAGGCGGCGGGCCGACGAGCTTGAGTACTCCCTCTTCAGTCCGCGCATTCTGTGACTTTTGATGGAGAATTTCTTGAGAAGCCCCTCTTCCCAAAGCTACGCAGTCCCTGCTGAGCTAGCCCCTACGCCGACCCCACAGGCTGGGACAGCTCGAGCTCCAGCCTCCTCCTCCTGAGCAAATGCTGTGACCACTGAGGCCACGTGCGACGTGACCGGGCTGGCGAGCCGAAGGCCTGGACGGAGCCGGAGGTGGAGCTGGAGCAGGGACGCTCCTCCCCTTGCAGAGCTCGGGGACGCGCAGCCCGGCAGTTCCACCTCGCCCTCCGGCGTCCGACCGGGTTCGAGCGGCGGCGCCCTCCGCACGCCGGCGGCCGCCGAGACCGGAAGTAGCGTCATCCGTTTGCGCCGACACGGTTCCTAGTCGGAGGCCTTGCGGAACGAGCAGGTGCTGCTATGGCTTCCAGCGGCATCGGTATGAACGCTGGTGGCTCGTCAAATGAAGCTCCTGAAATTCCAGACAACGTGGGAGATTGGCTTCGGGGCGTTTACCGCTTCGCCACCGATAGGAATGATTTCCGGAGGTAACGGAGGCCCGGAGCCTGGTCCCTCTCTGCCCCCCGCCCCGGGGCCCTGCGCAGAGCCTGCGGCGTTTCCCTTCGCCCAGGCTGGCGCCTCCGGCTCCTTCCGACGGTTAACATCTAGGCCTCTTAGTGACTCTGGCCGTGGTTTGCTGAGGTCCTTGACTGGGAGAGTTCCCATGCGGCAAAAGTGGTATTTTCAGTTACCGGCCTGTCTAGAAAATTTCACCTAGATTGGGGTGGGGGTGGGGTGGACCGGACCGGACCGGACCCTGGAAGAAGCGCCAACACACAAACTGGCTTTTCGGCCCTGGACTAGTGCTTCATCGGTCTTTGCATTTGACGCTGTTCTTATTAGACACAGACACTAAGTCCAAATAACTGTGGATCTTGGGCAATCTACCATGTAATGATCAACGCTCCTGAAATCTAAGTTTTGCCTCGGGGAGGTTTTTCCAGGGTGGCAGTGAGAAGCCTTTCCCCCCAGTTAACTTTGGTTAACCAAAGATAAGTGATTCAGTGACCACAAGGTTAATAGAATACATTTTTTCTCCAGGAACTTGATCCTCAATTTGGGGCTTTTTGCTGCAGGAGTTTGGCTGGCCAGGAATTTGAGTGACATTGACTTAATGGCACCTCAGCCAGGGGTGTAGTCAAATAGGTAAGCACTTCACCACTGCTCTGTGTGTCTTAAGAGTTTTAGAGGCTGGGAGAAGCAATAAAGTTATCAACTATTCTCAAAATATAGAAAAGAGACTTGATGTAAAACCTTTGGCAGCTTCCCAGTTAAATGTGTTTCCATGTTAGAAGGGATTTAAGTCTACCAATTTCCCTCCAGTGCTTCTACATTTCTAATGCCACCTGCTGTCTGGTCATCTGATTGTAGACACATGGAACCCGTGATGTACTTGAACCTTCCAAACAGCCTCCAATCTGTGACCATCACAAGACTTACCCTGATGGCGGCAGAAGTTTGCTTCAGATGAGCACCTTCCTTTCCCTGCCTGATTAACTTTTCTTCGTGAGTCTACTCAGAACTCCATTCTCTGGTCAGCAGTCAGGCTTTAGCTAAAGTGTTGTCCTCTGTTTTGTAAAGTTCTGTACATAATTCTGAAGTTTCTGTAGGGGGTGTGATCTCTACTCTTGTCTTGAGGCATAACCTGATGGAATTTTAACATTTGAAATAAAGACTGCCCACAAAGACAGCCATTTTAAATTCTTTTAATAAGAAACTTCATCTTACAAAAACAAGGTGTAAAAAGTCGATTTACAAAAATCATAAAAACATGATTTATATTTCACACTCAAAAGAGACTGGAACAAGCCCCAAACATGGTTGTGACAGAGGTGGTTTGCTTCATATTAAAAGGGGAAAAAAAGATGTTAACAGGATAAAGCTTACTGAGGAATTTCCATTTTTGAGCATTACTAGGGGAAGAAGCCATTTGGTGTTGCATAGCTGGTTAGTGCACCAGGTGGGTTTTCCAGGCACCAGGGAGGCATTGTTGCTGTAATAGAATGGGATTTATTGGCAGAAAGGGCAGTGATGTGCAGGTGGAGGCAAGGTGTTAAATAAGTCTGGGCAATGGGCACTAAAGTGAGCAGCTGCCTGCTTGAGAAAACTGCTTCCTTCACAAAGAAATAGGTTTTCTGACCCTGAAATTCATGGTAGTATGTAACGAACAATGGAATATATAACAAACTGGCTTAGAAAGACTCATGTAAGGAGAGATGTGGAGATAGAGATAGGTTCCCCTTGAAAACTTTTCTCCTAGTTGATTTACTCTACTAGGCATTTAAAAAAATACTGATTTTCCATGCCAAGTCTCTCAATGGAACTGGTGTGGGATAAGGGACATGAATTGGAAGGGAGGGTCAGTAAAAATGTACCACAGTGGCCTAATTGTTACAGTTGACAGATGTTGTCAAGCAACCTGTTTACTAAAGGTAAATAGGACAAAATAGTCCCTCTTGACCCTGCAGGCATAAATCTCATTAAGAAAGCTGTTTGAGAATTTGATTTTTAACATATTTTCTATTAAAAAGTACCATTTCCTTGTGAGTATTAATCAGGTAGGTCCCATCTGTTAGGAGGAGTGAGTTTGAGCCAGTGAATTCAGGGCTGTGGCTGGCTTAACATGAAACCATGACTCTTTAAGAGTCTACAGTGGGATCACTGAGGATTTGACAGGTTTATGTCTAACCGAGTGTTAAGATGAGGAAGGGTCATGTATATGAGAGCAAGGCTTACGTTTGAAGCCATCAACCCCAGAATGGTGACCAGGAAGGAAACTTTTATGCTACAGCATAGATCTAAGCCCCTTCCCACCTGCATCGGACCACTGCTAGGACCAATATGAGCATCTCCTGTTCTTTATAACAATGAAACATATCCTTGAAGTCTGCTACCAGATCTCATAATTGTGAACAGTTCTATTTCATAAAACTTTTCAAAGTTAAAAATCAAAACCCAGCAAAAATTAGGATATGGTAGCTTTCAAAAGCATTGAAATTTCATTCAAAATTTAATGTTTTATATTGTATGTCAACTGCAATTTAAAACATTTTAAAATTATTTTTAAAAACAATGTTTTAGCTTCAAGTAATAGTGTTCACTGTTGGTTGGTTTGTAAAGCCATATGCTGGTAAAGTCAAGTTTGATTTAAACTGCTTAATTCCTCAAAGTCGTAAGACTAGCAAATAAAGCAACCAAATCTACAATTTCAAAAATCATAACGAGTAATCATTCTATAAATGAAAGTGCTGGCTTTCACTATTCCAACACGTAACTCCCCAAGGGAAGTCAGCTTTACATCCTGTCAGTTGTCAGCCCTGGCTAATTAACACAGTGCTATGAAAATCTCTTACACTACCTACTTAGATTTTAAATGGAAACATGGCAGTAGAGTAAGTATAGAAAGAGTCCACAAAAATGACCACCTCAATGCTGTAGTAGCTATGGTGTACTTCAGGCAATGTGTGGATTGAGTCCACAGTGGTTAAAGTCAAGGCCATAGACCAAGAGGAGGGTTAACTTAAATGTGGAAGATACAAACTAAACTCACAGTCATATTTGGAAGGCGCGTTCAGCTGTAGTGCTGACTTGAAAGGATCTGAGCCACCAGGGAGATGCATAGTTACCTGGTAAAAAACTAAGTGGCCATGGAAGGTTCTATCCAAAGATAGAGCCTCCTCACCTAATTAAGCCAGTAGTTAGGCTGAGGGACCCATTGATTAAATGTGCTCTGAGTGGTGAGCTTTTGAAACACCATTTGGTGAAGTCTCATGAAATCAGTGGAAACCTTGAGGTCGGAATAAAAGGACATTGCTGTAAACAGCTGACAGGTGAGCAGACTGGGTCTCACCTCCCACAGCCACTCAGCACCATCCCAGCTGACACCTGCAGGGAAAGGGGCTGCGATGGGTTCGAGTCTTCTCTTTTGCACGTTACACAGTGCACTGGCTTGCCTTACAATCTAAACTAAAGGTTCACATATAGGGGATTGTGTTCTACACTGCTTTCTTTTCTGCAAAAGAACTTTAGAACTAATGAAGGTAGTTATTTCAGGGAACCCATTTTTGTTTGACTTCTACCATAAGTTGCCCAGCATTAGAAAAACAAAAAGGCCTTTTTTGAACATTTGTGCTCTCCCACCAAGCTGGAAAAGCAACCCTTCCACTCCTAGGATATAACCCCAGATGGGGTGTAGTATCTGGTTAGGAAGGGGTGGCCCTCCCAGCCTGATTTCAAAAGGCTTGAGTTAATGTTTTGAACATAAGAAGGGTGGTGAAAAAGAATGGGGTACATAGTCTGCTTGAAAAGTAGACATTTCATGAATAATAACAAATACAGATTTTGGGCATTACAGTAAAATTTCAGATCTTGCTGGTAAGAATAATTTCCTTTCACACATGAGATATGAAACGCTTTTAAAAGTCTGATACCAAACGTCCTTTACACTATACAGACCAATTTGCCACTTGAAATGACAAGAAGGAATCCTTTCCCTTAATCTTTTCAATCCCATGCAAACCATAATTGGGTACAAGGCACCAAATTTTATGAATTGTATAAAATTAGTTCACAAAGCTTTATCAGTAAGTAAAACAAACTCCCATTTCTCCTTCCCTGCCTACCACCCCCACATCCCACCCCCCACACCCAACCAAGTTTTCATTCTGCACTACTGTTGACCTCTCTCAGGCTTATGCTGGGGCCTGGCTAGGGCCATGCCCCACTGCCAGCCAACCCACCCCATTTGTTTTTGTAATAAGATAGAACTGTAAGCCAGAGAAGGGAACTCATACAATCACTGACTCTAGGAACCTTGCCATTAAAAACAAAAATAAACTCTGCTATTGAGTCCATAGGACACATTAACACTTCTACAGTTTCCAATTTTATTCATGACGTTTAAAGAGACATCTGGAAATTCTTTAGAGTGTGGCACCACCCCCCTCAGCCTGGGAGGGGCTGGATCAAAGCTGGCAAGAGCTCTGTCCACCAGTTAATAAGAGCTTCAGTTTCTGGCTGTTGAGGGCATTCCTAATCTTTTTTACACTAGAATGGATGCTCATCTCCGAGGCAACCACAAATATGAAGGTCAAGCTAGACTGAGGTAAAAATCCTTTGTGAGGGCCAGGGTGCATTCATCTTGGCTGGCTACAGCAGAAAGTAAACACACCAGCCAACTGCTACAGGCTCCTGGAACAGGACTCTAACTAGTCTGAGAGAGAAGCAGGTCCGTGCGGTTCACAGTTAGGAGATCTTGGGTTTGATTTGGCAGCATCTAGGCAACTTCTACCTGGTTCTTATTTTCTTCTCTTTAGAATGTTTCAATTTAAAGTAAGATGCAACTAAGAAATTCATCTACTTCCAATATGTAAATAAATTAAAGGCAGAGGGACATTTCCCTCACAACGGCCATTGGCTTCTGTAGCAGGGAACTCCTTTAATAAAAATCTTTATAAATACTAACGTTTCAACAGCGTCTAGTGCTGCTGCCTGTGGGTACCTGAGGAGTCTGTGACTGCAGGGACACCTCCAAGAGCGTGCAGCTCAGTGAGGACTCTGATGTTGGTGGCTACGCCAACTCATTTTGAACAAGTTTGTTAATTTGATACAGGGGTGCTCAGCTAAGTTAAGACTTATTTTACAAAGTTTTAATCTGTTAATATGCCTTATATTTGGTATAAAACTATTTTTAAAAATTAAATTTGAAGATCTTTTAATTTTCCACTAAATGTTCACTTTTCTTAAATATTTCCTCGGACAGCCTGAGGGATGAAGTAGATGCTTTATTAGTTCTCCATTTGTAAGTTCTCTTTTTCTAGAATAATAAATACAGCATTCAATGAAAGATGAGGCACAATTTATATTTTCCTTTCCTTTTACTCTCCTGGGGCTTTTTTAGTTAATGGGCTTTTCTACGGCCACAAAAAGTCACCACCAATCATGCTGATTTGAAAACGTGGATATGGAGAGTATAACTTCACATCAGAGCCTCTGGCGGTGTGCGCAGCTGTGACACTTTAAAACAGTGTCCAGGAGAGAGTGAGCCCAGGCTGAGCTTATACAAAGAAGCCTGCAGCAGACAATATAAACCAAACAGCATAAAAAATGCCATACGCTATCGCTTCCAAATAAAAGCTAAATATTACAGAAACCTCACAGTGTTGGAAAAAGCAAGTTTAATATAAAATATAGTCACTCCCCCTTCTTTATCAGGGTGAGCCATTTTCTGTCTGAATTTCCTCCATGTCTCAGTGCTGTCTGGCAAGTCCTTTGGGAGAATTAATCTCAAAAGAGGTAAAAACAAATGTTCCAGATCTGCTCTAGGATGTGGCTCATCGACAGCGCTAAAGCTACGACTCTCATTTGTTAATTTGTTAGCCTCTCTTTTCTCAACTTCCCACCCCTCCCCAAACTCCCTTCCATATTTACTCCCTTCAAGTGACAACTGTACTTCTACCTGAATTGAAATGTTAATATGACATACTCAGTCAAAAGATGAGCTTTCATATGATAAGCTGAGGCAGCCTGCAGCAACCCCACAAGAAGAGTTACAGTTTGCATTCACTTGCACTGGTGAGTCTAAGTGCAGTTAAGAAGGGAAGTTCAGTGGTGCTTGATGGCGTGGAAGGTTTCCACCTGGACAATTTCATTCCACTTAGAAACTGACCCAGTGTAGAAAGATCTGTTTTGCTAGCGCTGGAGTAAAGGACAGGGCACTCTTGCTTTCTCTGGTGGACTTTGTGGCTGGGTAAAGAAACAGGAGGGATTATAAGATTTGAAAGGAAACAAGCCAGAGCCATCAGCAGTAAACTGTTCAGACATATAGGGGAGCAGATTCCTAAGCCCTAGGAAAGCAAAAGCTCCCCAAAATTGTGAACAATAATGCTCTAACCCTCCAGGAGCAAGAAAGACGCTGTGAGCTAAGAAAAGCTGCATACTGCACCAGGTGAGAACAGGGTACAGGCATTCAAATAAGCCCTGGGCCACCGGCTGTTCCCGCCCACCCTCAACTGAGTTCTGAGAAAGCCTCAGACAACTGACCTAAAGACGAATTTAAACCAAACCCTAGACCTTGACCTGACCTGAACCAGGGATTTGCTACAGAACTGGGTAGCCAGGAGTGCCCTTAGGCTACAAAGAACATGTCATGTGCCCATTTATTGCTTCCCCATATGAACTGCTCCTTTAGAATGGAGGGATGTTGATGCCAGTCTCAGAAGATGTGGAATGATTAAATGAGCAGCAGCCAGGGAAGGTATGACATATGAAAAACCTCCCATTTTGCATGAGGAAATTTGTTCCATGCATCTCATTCTACTCTTCAACTGCTATCCCCACAAAAAGTAAGTCTGTAAGTTTTCAACCCTTGAAGATTACTCCTTTATAGGAGCAATTCCTTAGACTTCACCTGCTGCCTTGGAACCAATCCCATCCTGAAAGCTGCCAGCCCAGAGCCCCTCCTCATGTGCTCTGTCCTGGGCTGCTCACATCAGGGGATTCTTCTGGTGCTGCAGGGAGGTCCTGATTAGCAGGGGAACCACATAATGGAAAGAAAGCATGGCTGCTCTCCTGGCTGGACATGATCAATTTACTCCTTTTTCGCTCTACCCAGATCCCTCTATATTCAGGAGTAACTGATGAAAGACTCTTCATACAGGTTACTCCTTTTAATTTGTTTTATCAAAGGAGGGGCTTTCCAAATCCATTCAAAACAAAGTGACTACAGATTTTATGATAGCACATGAGTCACCTGGCACCTCTGCTCTAGACCCAGTGAGGCAAACCTAGTAACCTGTTCCTGCAGTAAACCTTGCTTCCTATCAGAGGAAAGATGAACGGACACCAATGGTTTGAAAGCAAGCCAGTCTTGGACATGTGCCTCCCATTCAGGGGAAGGCCCGTGGTCTGCCCTCGTTGTTGCTGGGCTGCACCTGAGCTTGGAGGTGGGGTTCAGAGATTCTTGCATTGCCCTGAACTGTTCTTTGAGTATAAAAAAGGATGTAGGCTTGAGTTCTGCACACTTCCTCGACACTGCACACATTCAGCTTTGAGTCATTGCAGTGGACCCAGAAACCTAGGGAACCAAAGGAGAGAAAGAGTAAATGACTCCCCAACTCGTATTTCCAGTCAGCAGGTGAAACCAGGAGATGAGGGAGGGGCGGAGGAGTGTGAAGAGAGCCAACCCTGGATTGGTGGTGGTGGTGGGGAGGCAATTAAATGAGAGCAAGAGTCTTTCTTGTAACCACCGGCTTCCATCCCACCAAACCCACCACAATACTGCTTACAATATTGACTGGCTCTAATTTTATTCAGGCTTTTTCATTCCCTTTCAGGGCCTCCTACAAAGACATCCAGGGGAGTGAGGTGAAGAGGGGGAAGAGAAGGAGGAGGAAAGGGGAAATGTAAATAGAGAGGAGTGATAAAGGAAAATTCATAAGGAATAAAAAGTTGTTTGTGCCTGGCCAGGGTGGCTCAGCGGTTGAGCATTGACCTAGGATCCAGATCATGGTTCAATTCCCAGCTCGATCCCCAGTAGGGGGCATGCAGGGGGCAGCTGGTCAATGACTCTCTCTCATCATTGATGTATCAACTCTCTCTCTCCCTCTCCCTTCCTCTCAAATCAATAAAGGTATGTATTTTCAAAAAGTTATTTGTTCACAGGCTCACTGGCTACCCCAAGGGCTGAGGGTTCAAGATCAGTACACTACTGAAAAGACCTCGAAATGCACCTGCCCCAGTGCAGTAGCTGGGAGGCTCTGCTCTCAGGACAAGGGCTGAAAGCTTCTTGCGAGGGGCCCTTGTATCCTCACATGTCCCATGGGATGTAGTAAGGACACAGTGAATACTCAGTAAATGTCCTCAACTTTATTATGAGCTGAGGCTAGTGAGATTCATACAATATCTCTTCAAGGTTAGATGGGTCATATCATTTCTGCATAACGAAAAAGGAAACAGAGGTCTGCAGCACAAGTATTAATAATAATAACCTCTAACATTAATTGAGCATAATGTGCTAGGCACTGTGCTAAGCACTTTTACACGTGTCAGTTCTTATTAATTTTTAGAACAATCTTATGTTATTACTTAGTAATTTATCAAAAATTTGAATCAAACGTCCATAATTCTTCCAACTGGGTTTAAATGTATGTAATATCCCCCTAAAGATGAAAAGGAAAGCAATGAAATGTGGACAGACCACCCTTTTCCATGTCCCCCACCCTACAGGGTAAAGCACACGCACCTCCCTCTGTGTTGTAGCAATAGGCTGTGTAGTGTCCTGAGCCAAACCCTTTCCCGTGATGCATGACCACTGCGGAGAGATCATAGGCAAAGGTCTCTTTGTCAAGAGAGGAGAGCATGTCCCTGCAGCAGTAAGGTTCCATGGTTAGTACCTGGTCAAAGACGACATGGACCCCAATCTTCTCTCGATGATTACGGCCAGACCACCTAGAACACGGATATAAACTTCTTACTAGTAAAAATGGTGTACGGAATCATAGGTAGAGGTAGGTAAAACTGGGAACTGAGAAAACTTAACCTTCGGCTTTGGTTTTCACATCAATAAAACAGTAATAATCAATGTCTGCATATACCTCCTATGAATGTTCCCTGATGTACTCTGAAACTACAGATCCCTAAAGAAGCAATTCAGGCAATAATCTTCTGTAGTTTACTGCCTGCCCTTCTTCTCACAGATTATCTCATACTTTATTCTGAAGATGACTCTGTAAGCCCAAGTGAGGCTAGAAAACCTTCGAGCACAGGCTGGCTAATTTTAAAAGGCCAGGAGAGCAGCAGCCAGTCCTGCTGGCCCCAACATCAACTTGCCTCACTGGACATGACACATTTAATCTCCACAGAAAGCACAAGGTCCCTAAGGAACCAGTGTCCCCTCCCCACAGCACAGACATTTGCCCTCACCATTTGCCTCTGAAGCAGCTGTTCCCAGTTCACAGCCACATGGGACACCTGAGAGCAAGCTCACCTGAATCTTTTAAGGTGCAGCCGGAGGACCTGAGGTAGTCTGTAGATCATTAACTGCTTTCTAGCTTCACTCAGAACAAGGGGTTTTGGATTGGATTTTCGTCGTTTGCCTATATGGTTTGGGAAGGTATAAGAGAGATTGTGAGGAGTCTCATTCTTTCCTAGCTGTGGCAGAGACAATGACTTGCCACTCAATATGCATTCTTCTTATTTCTCAGTATTTGAAACTCGGTTATATTTGGGGCAGCTATACACCCCCCTGTAAGGCTGCATTTCCTAGCCCTACATCCGCATGCTGTGGCCACAGGAGTTCTAGCCGAGATGAAAGGAATGACTGTGTGGCACTCTGGGTCGGCAGCTTAAATAAGGCTGACTCAGTTGTAAGGTGCATCCTTTGTCCTTTCCACTGTTTGCAAATGTTAGAATTCCCCTTGGACTATGAGGTGATCTAGAGGTTGAAAGCCCTGAACTAACACAGTAAAGCTGAAAGATGGAAGGAGCTCAGGTCCCCAATAACCATGCAAGCCCCTGAAGATCCTTCGGACTTTTTTTATATAACAGAAGAAAAAAAGTACTTGTTGTTTTAAGTCACTGTTATTTGAATTAACTTACCAGCAACTAAACCTAATCCTGATACTTCCACTTTCAAATGTTTTCCATCAGCAACTTCCAAAATTGATATGGGTTTAGGATGGTGCACTCATGTCATGGATTTATCAATGGAATATAATGCAAGGTCACCACAACAACATGCACACAGAGGCATATGTTAGGGGTCTATGCCTTTAAATATGGGCTTATAACTTAAATTATGATGTACCATAATATAACTTTAAGAGCTTTTTGTTTTCATCAGAAAGGCCTAATTCTGTTTCCTGCTCACAGAGTTGTATGCTATTGGACAAGTGATTCCAAACACTGAATCTCAGTTTGCTCTCTTATAAAATGAGGAATAATGCATGTATTTCAGGCTTAGGAGAACGGTAAGAGCACAGCATTAATAAAGGAAAAGTATTAAAACA